ATATTTTAGATTTTTTATATTTAAAATGAGATGTTTATCCTATATTTGATTATGTTTATCTATAGTTAGTTACACGAATTCAGATATGGAGCTTTAATAAGTAATAATTACGTATAATCTAATTGTAATCTTGAATTTTAAGTAATATGTATTAATAAACAGTACTTTACATATAAAAAATGGTTTTTAAGAGTTTTTATCAAATAATTTATAATATAGTATAGATAATATGGTGAGAAACGTAATTTATGGGTTGGGTGAGATTAAAAACAATTAAGGATGCAAATTTTTTTTCTTAGACTATCTTTAATAACAAACCAAACCAATCCAATCTAATCTAAATTTTTTTATACTTTATTCACAATCCAATCCAATCTCAAATATTATTTTATGAAAATTGTATATTTAATATTTTACCATATATATATATATATATATATATTAAAAATTTATTTTATTAAACCAAATATAAATTAGTTTTTTTTTTAAATTCAATTAAATTACAATTAAAAATCGAATTAAAGAAATTACACAAGAATAAGAACTTTTAAATAGTGAATTTGATACTAATATCGTTTATTTTTATCAAAATTTTATGATATCTTCAAATTTATATTTCATTCAAGAATATAAATATTTTTTTTTCTCAAAACCACATAAAATCGCATTATAATATAATAGACCTAAAATATAAAACGTAACATTAAAATCAAGTATATCTCGCTGTATTGCGCGAGTACCATTCTAGTAATTATAAATATAAAAGAAAAACTTACAATTGAAAATAAATAAAGGAAACTACAGAAAGAATAGCAAAATTACATATCTAAAAGAAAAAAATAACATAATAAATAGGGTCGAATCTTTGTAAGCAACAATCCATTTGTTCACATTTTCGTTAAATCGAGTCCAATGACCTTTCATTTGATTTTCGTTCCTGATATGCATTCCTTTTGGATTTTCTCTCAAGTTGCATCATAGTATTTTTTCCCATCGTGAAAAAAACGCTCATTTATTTTGGTTTCTGCCACGAATAGCGTCTTCGCTAACAAAGACGTATGCTGACATTAAAGTCATATCTTCTTTAATCTCCCATGGATAGTCGACTCTTGAGATTTTTTGTGAGTTTTGAACATTTTAAGAGATATATTGCGGGTTATCAGAATGTTAAGAGTTAAATAAAAAATTTTGTTAGTTTGGATCCATAGAAGAAACTTGAAAAAAAATCAAGATCTTTGGAAATTTCAAGATGATGAGTTGAAAGAAAGAGAAAAATTGGTGTGTTAAAAATATGTTAATATTGGTCTCTATTTGTAAAAGATTGAAAAATATGAATTTTGGTATATTTTTTAATTTTAAATTTTTTATAAAAATTTCTTTTTAATTAGATAAGATTTATTCTAATAAAATCTAAAATAAACCAATAACAATTTGACACATCATCCATAAAATATTATATTATTTTTTATTTATTCTTTAATTAATTTTTAAAATTTGCAAACTAAGTTTGTTAGTGTAAACCCTTTGCAATAAATAAATGAAATTTTCTTTTATTTAATAAAAATATTTTATCCTATTGTCAAATAGTTTAGTTTGGTTTGTCAATGAGAATAGTCTTTATGATTTTTACTTTTAACTTCTGTTCCCATAAAATTTTTCATTTATACAACTATGTTATATTATATTGTAATATATATAGGGGTTTATTAAAAAAAAAATTGATCAGTTTGTGGTAACATGAGATACAATCTCAACCATAAATCAAATATTAAATTAAGAAATTAATAATTTTGATAATTTTAAATCAAATAGTTATTCTAGTTCTCTTCTCTCTTCTCCCTCCTCCCTCCTCTCTGAGCTCTCTCCATCAAACACATCATCTCTCCAACGTACACTATATGAACACATGATACACTTGGTAAATAAAACATTACCTGATATATTGTGTTACAATTCGTAAAACAACAAAACATTGTGATACATTTCGTATAACGACAAAAATACATTGTGATACATATTATGATACCAAATATAGTTAATGAATACAACTGTGATACCACTATGTTACCACTGTCATACCCAATAACTTTTAACAGTAAGAAATTATATATTTATTTTCTCAATTATAATTTTATAGAAAGAAACTTCTATAATTTGTTTGATTAATAAGGAAACAGTATCAATTTCTTTGATTGATAATCGTTAAGAAAAATATTAATAAAATTACTAATACGTCCTTTTTCTTAATTAAGGTAATACAATTAATATAATAAAATGATTGATTTATAATGAAACTCACAGTTACCACAAACTAAATTAGTTTTCATTTGCTTATTACCCATATATAATCAAATTTGATCCCGAAAACCATAATAAGAATCCAAGAAAAGGGAAGATTAAATTTTAACCATCATACTTGGTTCGAAAGCAACAATCAAACACTATATTCTGATAAATGCAAGTAAAAGACATCGTAGTCGGCAAAAATACGTAAAAAGGGGCACCAGACTCGAAAGTTAACAAGTAAATATGATCGATTGTTTCATGTGTAAATAAAAGAATAAGAAAACGGACGAATAACATTTGATATTACACTAGAATCATGTTTAAGATCATTTGTGATTCTTGCGACTTTAGGCACAGACTCAAGTTGCGGCTAAAGTTGTCCGCAAGACTCTTTTATTGACTATTAATGTTAAGTCACATGTGATTTTATATATGATTTGATCGTTCCCATATTATTTTATTTAGTTATTGTTGTCGTTTGATAATACATAACACACATATATGAATGATTGCATGAGAAGGAGAGTTAAGTTAAGAAACATAGCAAGGGATCTTTTACTCTTGATCACCTCTAATCTCAAACCTATCCATGAATCATGTTTGATACGGCGATTTATCCGGTACATTTCATCCTAATGTACATCCAAGGATGCAAATCCTTCTTACGCTTCTCATTTTAACCTTTGCTCTCGCCGGAGGCCAACACCTCTCTCTCTCTCTCTCTCTATATATATATATATATATGGGGCAAAAAGAATGGTTAGAAACGGTCGTTGGCTTAGAGAGAAGGAAGAATTTTTGCTGCTAACCATTATCAATGCAAATGATTTTATGCATGATCTAATTATTATTGATCTGGTTTTGGGGATCAGTGGGGATAGGGTTGATCTTCTTGGCTAAGCTGTGCTTATTGTTGTGCATCCAGACTTTGAGTACTCTCCTTTTGATCCCTAGTTCTTGACAAAACTGTTGCACCACAGATTCCTGTTGCTTTTGGAATTTCCACCCAACTTTCTCTGCAAAACTAAGCATCTTATCCTTCTGTTCTTGTGTGAACTTTGTTCTGAACCTCTTCTTCATCACCATCTGATGTGGTTGTGGATGCCTGCTCATAAATCCACCGCCATCATCACCACCACCACCACCACCACCACCACCACCACCACCACCACCACCACCATCTTCCTGTTCATCAGATTCAGATGGCAAAGACTCGATGCCCATATTATAGGACATGATCATCCGTGGTGGTGCTCTTGAAGGTACAAGCATCCCAGCATTATTGTGATTGTACCCAAAAGATTCTGTTCCAAGGATACCTCTGTGGTGATGACCCTGAAAAATGACCTTTCTACCATTTCCATGCCCAATTGATCTGTTAAGATGTGGAGGGGCAGAGTGGTAATTGTAGTCATAGGAGAGTTGGTGGGCTTCACCTTCAATCTCTTTTCTGTGGAAGTTTCTGTGGCAGTTGCAGGCTGAGCAGGTGAGGGCTTCAAGGGTGCCCTCTTCCCCAGAAGGCATGAACTCACCACACCCATCTGTTGCACTACCTCCCATGGAAGCTGCATGGTTCTTGAGGCATTCTCTGTATCTCACCACCACCATCCTGTGGCTATTGTTGCTGTTAGGTATCACAGTCTCCTCCATTGATGAAGAGGAGGGTGGTGGTACTATTATTGTGGGCCCATTGGTGATTGGTATTTGTTGGGGTTGTTGCTGTACTGCTGCTGCTGAAGATGGGACAATGTGATTGTGTGGTGCAGACTCATGATGAATCATGTGCCCATGCCCATGGCCTCCACCATATCTGCTGTTGATAGGAATAGCCATCTCTCCTCTTTGAAGTTCCATTTCTACCCTTCCCCTCTTTGATCTCTCACCACGTCTCCTTCAAACTTTCTTTAAGAAAACAAAAGCTGTGTTATTTTGCATGTGGTTTGGAGACCAAAAGAGAACAGAAACCCTGGTTACATCTAATCCTACAGATTGTTAAGAGAGAGAAAAAATCTTTAGGAGCAAAAATAGAGGAGGGAATCACTGAAAACTACAGGAAGGGAACAACAAGAGGTGGGCATGAGGATTAAACATCAATCTGAACATGAACAAGTGAAGTTGCAGAACTCTTGAAGAAAAGAGAGAGAAGCTTTAGAGTTCAAAGACTCCAAATGGTCGATTAAAGAAAGCTAAAAATCAGTAGTAGCAACAGTTAAAAGAATTAAGAAGAAGTGATCGATAATCAAGAACCATGAAATATGGTGCTTTCTGACAAGAGTTACTCACATAAATAGACCTCTGTAAAGTTGTAATGGCCTCCCATGGCTGGTAGCCAAAAGAAAACGACAGAAGCAAGGAGAGAAAGACAGATTTGCAGGTGGGTTTTGCAAGTGAAGCATGAGCTTATAGCGGTAGTGAATACCAAAAAGGAGGGGGAGAGAGAGAGAGAGTAAAAGAAAAGGTGATTGCTTTGCTTGCACTAACAGGCATCAAGTTTACGCCATAGGGGATGAGATATATCAAGCATTGTGTCAGAAGAGAGTGGAGATGACAATGTCAGAGAGTAGTGGAATATTATTTTGAATAAAAATTAAACTCATTTAATAAATTATAGGGATGTTGATATATTAAAAGTTCATCATAGAAAATAAAATTAAAAATAAATATAAAAAAAACGATACCCTATTTTTTATCATAAGATTTAGTGGAGCTAGATTTATTTTTTGGTAGTTAACGTTTGTCAGTTTATTGCTTTTCGTCCTTCAATTTTGTTTTAACAGTGTTGTTCTTCACACGTGTCGATTTCCAACGAGTTTCTTTCCTCCTTATAACTACTGTTAATTTTTTCTCTTAAATCCGATATCTGAGGGGCATTATCGTTTTTACGTGGTTTCTTAATTTTCTTATTTTACGAAGACCATCAAACTTCATGGACCTGCTACATAATTATCGTTAACATATATGTGTGTGTGTGTTGTATATAGAGGTCCATTAAAGGAAGAACTGACTAGTTTGTGGTAACCGTGAGATCCAATCTCAACCACAAATCAATAGATAAATTAGGAAATGTATAATTTTGGTAATTTTGAATTAAAATTTTAATGCAAAGACATTTTAGGTATTTTCTCTCCTATCTCCTCTCTCCGTCCCCCGTCCTTCGGCCAACGTCCTCCAGTGATACCTAAAAATATTGACTCTATTAAACAAAAGACACAGTGTGATACCCAATCATATATAAGATGCATTGTGATACCACTGTTTTACATCACCAATCGACCACACAAACGACCTCATGGTGATACCCGAACACATGTCGTAGGAATCTTCCACGGATGGTTCAGCAAAAGGACCTGTAAAAGATGGAAAGTGAGCATAAGAGAGCTCAGTGTTAGATGAAACGAAAGGATAGGAAGATGGAATACCTGAAGGGTCATCAGCGTTATCAGAAGGATTAACGCTGGTGCGCTCCATGGTGCACTTGAAAGGATGAACACCAGTTTGCTGAGGAGCTTCGAGAGGAGCTACCTCAAGTCTAGTGGTAAGTGTCTCATCATCAGGGAGGACATTCATTGATGAATCATGGACACATATAACAACCAATGATGGAGGAGAAGAGAAGAGAAGATGGCTGAGAGTGATTGTGGGTGTTCAGCGGTGGCGGCACTAATATTCACACCTTTAGTGATTTGAGTCTCTAAGGCGGTTGGGAGAGGTGCCACTGATATGGCAGTGATATCAGGAATCACTGAAGAGCTGGGAAGGCTGACTAAAAGTGCCTCGGGGGTAAGGCTCGTTTCAATAGCTGAGACCTTTTGAGGGTCATAGCCAGAGATGTGGTTATCCCCCTTTTTGGCTCTCTGAGGAGAACTAAGAGTTGGTTGAGCTGGGCGTTAGGATGAAACTGGGTTAGACCTGGGGGGGGGGTTTGCCTTTGTCTTGACCATCGAAGGAGAAGAAGAAGAGGGAATAATAGAAGAGTGTTGCACTACAGGAGACAGTGCAATATCTCCATCCCTCAGCTTGTGATCCAGAATCCTGGATCCAAACTTGCAAACAGGAAGGTCACCTTCCTTGGAGTATTTTTCACCAAAGATCTTGGCGAAAACCATTGAGAGAAAATGGGTGTATGGAACCACTTTCTCCCTCTAACGCTTTGTTAGTCCCGAAGGGTAAGGCGATAAACAGAAAGTAATTGTAGAAGGGGGGGTTGAATACAATTACACAAATTTTTTCAACTTTTTAATTCTTATTGATTTATATCAAGAATTAATACACACAGAAAAACAAAAGATTGTTGCGGAAGATAGGAAAGGAAAACCTAACCTAAACAATCTTACAAAGAGAAGAACTTTCAAGAACAACAC